GAATCTGAGTCTGAATTCCATGTAGAAAATACGTGACCTGAACTCTCATGCAGTAGAAAAAATGTGAGTCATTCGAAAGTTTGTGCAAGTACTTGTGCAAGATTTTATCTATAATTCATATTATTTATCCGAATATATGTATCACGATAAAATATTCAGAAAATACACTGATTAGGGACGCATGTATGGCTTTATATGTCTCCGGTTTGATCTACTAGTAATATGTATTTAATACTATTTAAGATAGGCAAATATCTATTACATATGTTTTATTGTGCAAATGAGGAACATTGTACACGGGACTTAAAACCAAACCAGGAATGTATCAGAAAGTCGGATGATATCAGGCTGTTCATCAATCGGCTCTAACCAAGGTGCATTGTACCAAATTTAATTGGACAAGTGAAGCGTTAACGTTACGTTGCCGAAAAAGAGGTCATTGATTGTTCTACCCGGCGATATTTACACGGGGATATCTCAAAGGTGTGAATCTCCTGTCTGTGTGGTAGCCCTTCAAGGCGTTAGGTTCGTTAGCATATTTCTCTTGGCGTTAGGTAACACAGACACAGTATGTGTGACAAATCTTGTCCTGACGATGCCGTGAGACTACGGAGCTGCAAATTGTCAGGTTGTGTGGAAAACACAAAGGGGATAAACTTAATGTTTACTCCGCTTGAAGTGTTGATAGATAAAAACACCTCTATTACTCTTTTATGCTCAGAAGATTAATATATATAATCGAGTATTCTTATCAATGTGTTTAGGAATGCGCTTATGCCAGGGCCGTGATATTGATTATCAATAAACAGCAGATGTGTAGACTGTAACTCAATAATCCCGATAAAACACATATTTAACATACTATAGAATATTTTACCTTGTTTCTTCTTTTCAAGGTCAACAATTGACGGGTGATATAAAAATGAAAAATGGAAACTTGTAAACTACTTCGTCATTACACGAGGACAAGAACTCAACATGATACAACACGTTTTCTGCACCCCGAAATATATCTTGACAAGTTTCAGGAAGAAAATAATCTCACCAATCTTTAGGCTAATAACTGACGTTTGCCGCGCAATTCTTTTGATGTACATCAAAGGATCATTCTTGTTTGTTTGTATCGTACAAACAGGAACGACCACCTTGTCCAGTCTCACACTCAAACAAAATATCGACTTAGGTGATTTTATAATGACTACCGGGGTTCTCACTTCGAAAGCGTGCCTTTACTTAGGTTAGAACTAGACTTGCACGGCTGGTGTCGTCTATGGTGTAGAGATTAGACCTATACTTACACGGCTGGTGTCGCCTATGGTGTAGAGATTAGACATAGACTTACACGGCTGGTGTCGTCCATGGTGTAGAGATTAGACATATACTTACACGGCTGGTGTCGTCTATTGTGTAGAGATTAGACATAGACTTACACGGCCGGTGTCGTCTGTGGTGTAGAGATTAGACCTCGACTTTCACGGCTGATGTCGTCTAAGATGTAAAGATTAGACATATACTTACACGGCTGGGGTCGTCTATGGTGTTGAGATTAGACATAGACTTACACGGCTGGTGGCGTCTATGGGGTAGAGATTAGACCTAGACTTACACGGCTTGTGTCGTCTATGGGGTAGGGATTAGACATAGACTTACACGGCTGGTGTCGGCTATTGTGTAGAGATTAGACATAGACTTACACTGCTGGTGTCGTCTGTGGTGTAGAGATTAGCCCTAGACTTACACGGCTGATGTCGTCTAAGATTTAAAGATTAGACATATACTTACACGGCTGGTGTCGTCTATGGGGTAGATATTAGACCTAGACTTACACGGCTGGCGTCGTCTATGAGGTAAAGATTAGACATAGACTTACACGGCTGGGGTCGTCTTTGGTGTAGAGATTAGACATAGACTTACATGGCTGGTGTCGTCTATGGTGTAGAGATTAGACCTAGACTTACAAGGCTGGAGTCGTCTATGGTGTAAAGATTAGACCTAGACTTACACGGCTAGGGTCGTCTATGATGTAAAGATTAGACCTAGACTTACACGGCTAGTGTCGTCTATGGTGTAGAGATTAGACCTAGACTTACACGGCTTGTGTCGTCTATGGGGTAGGGATTAGACATAGACTTACACGGCTGGTGTCGTCCATGGTGTAGAGATTAGACATATACTTACACGGCTGGTGTCGTCTATTGTGTAGAGACTAGACATAGACTTACACGGCTGGTGTCGGCTATTGTGTAGAGATTAGACATAGACTTACACGGCCGGTGTCGTCTGTGGTGTAGAGATTAGACCTCGACTTTCACGGCTGATGTCGTCTAAGATGTAAAGATTAGACATAGACTTACACGGCTGGGGTCGTCTTTGGTGTAGAGATTAGACATAGACTTACACGGCTAGTGTCGTCTATGATGTAAAGATTAGGCCTAGACTTACACGGCTGGTGTCGTCTAAGATGTAAAGATTAGACATAGACTTACCCGGCTGGTGTCGTCTATTGTGTAGAGACTAGACATAGACTTACACGGCTGGTGTCGGCTATTGTGTAGAGATTAGACATAGACTTACACTGCTGGTGTCGTCTGTGGTGTAGAGATTAGCCCTAGACTTACACGGCTGGTGTCGTCTAATGTGTAGAGATTAGACATAGACTTACACTGCTGGTGTCGTCTGTGGTGTAGAGATTAGCCCTAGACTTACACGGCTGATGTCGTCTAAGATTTAAAGATTAGACATATACTTACACGGCTGGGGTCGTCTATGAGGTAAAGATTAGACATAGACTTACACGGCTTGTGTCGTCTATGGGGTAGGGATTAGACATAGACTTACACGGCTGGTGTCGTCTATGGTGTAGAGATTAGACCTAGACTTACACGGCTGGAGTCGTCTATGATGTAAAGATTAGACCTAGACTTACACGGCTAGTGTCGTCTATGATGTACAGATTAGATCTAGACTTACACGGCTGGTGTCGTCAATGGTGTAGAGATTGTAATCATGAAACCGTTCTGAAACCGTTCTCATGCTCAAGCACGGATTCTACACTGAAACCAACTTTCCTGTAACTTGCTTAAATCATATGACATAGCCGAAACGTCAAGTGTAAACATCGAAAACTGTATTCGGTTTTAAGTATCCCCAAAAATTCTTCTTTCAAAATCACTGACTCAACACCAAAACAGCATATCTTACAGAACAATCATCTTAGATATACTAAAACTACAACCTACCTAACAACAGACTTGAATTGTCTAACGAATCCTTGTTTCCTTCTACTGTTAGGTTTTGGAACCAGTTACCTACTGGTATACGACGTAGCGCCACATTCTCCAGGGCTGTCCTGATTGTGATGGGCTTACAAATAGAAGAATACTTGGTGATGTGCATATTTTTATTGGAAAATCCCGTCGTTTTAATTTTTATATGACTTAAAGCCATGATGTTATATAAAAATATACTATATATTCTATATTTCATCCAGGAGATTCTAGTTGAGCATGACTACTGTCTATTGCGTGTACTTATCATGACATTGTAAATAATTACACTTTATATGTATTAAATGAATTTATTATTTTTAATTGTAACAGTTGTTGGTAGCAGTGACCTGTGCAATATATGCACATGGACTTTTGGTCTAAGCCTGCCACTATCTGTCTATGATAGTGTATATATATGTTGAAATAAATGTATTTGTACATGTACTTGTATGTGTGTGTAAGTGTGTATGAGGTGTGTGAGATGTTTCCTTCATGAGTTACTTCCCCTTAGCCTTGTGTTATTATGAATTATTTTGTGTTATTTTTTTCATTTGCAACATGTCTAAAATATTATGTCTCCTTGTTTATTCAACTTTGGCCATTTGACGGAGAGAATTTATATAGGCTTTGCCTGTTATTCAATCCAATTGATTATGACATCTTGTCAATAAAATTTGATGAAATGAAAAGCGCCTCATTCTCATCATTCAGAAACGCCAATCGAGACTTAAACTTGCCTCTTGTACCAAATTTCGCTTTCTACGGTGATAGAAAAAAATAACATTTTACATACAAAATTAAGAGACAATTCTAGTACTTTAAAAAGTGATCTGTTTCGTGTTAACCTTACTGATTACCAACGTTGTACATTTTGTGTATATGTGACTTCCCTATTGAAGACACACACCATTTCTTTTTTACCTGTGATAAATATGTCGAACAAAGAATTAAGCTTTATCGTGAACTGAATGAAAACATGCCTCTTCATTTGAAACTACTTCTATTTGGAGATACCTCTCTTTCGGAACAGGAAAACATAACGATATTCATGCATACTCCACAATACATTCGTGACTCAAACAGATTCTAGTAACACTACAACCCCCTCCCCCCGGCCCNCTCTCTCTCTCTCTCTCTCTCTCTCTCTCTCTCGAAATATTGTATATATATATTGATTACATTGTAAGTCTACCATCCTGCCATACTGTAAATATATGATTGTAATTTACTTTGAAAGGGCTTAATATAAGTTTAATAACTTGTACCCAATCCATTTGCATGACAATAAAATATGTTAAACTAAACGAAGGAAATATATATTATGTCCTACGTCTGAATAATGTAAGCACGTCCCTCAGAGGTTCTTTACAGGATAAATGATCTTAACACAGTAGTTTTAGCGAATTCTACAAAGGAATAATATTATAAAGCATAGTTCATCACAGTATACTATTTTACTCGAGAATGGAAATTAAGACACAACCGATCAATCTATTGGTGTTCGTATCTAAATGATGTTTTTCAGGAAAGCTTAATTCACCTTATTTTCTTATTTAGACAGAAATGTTGGGAAATTCTAGGACCCCTGTAATTTTTACATCTCATTGATATAGATACCTCGACACGACAGGATGGCAGGACCTGTCAATATATATCGTTTATAAGATCACATATAATGCACGTATCATAGAATTGCTTAATAGACAACTACTGCCGCTACATAAGCTCGAATCTGAGCGTACTATTCTCTTCCTTGTCGTATAGAAGTCGCTAGTACACTAGGCACGATGAAGACTGGTGCGAAGTTCTCTGTGGTGGTTCAAGTAGGTATAATACATATTTATATATTAACTTTACAAGGTGCATGTTAGAGCTTGTTTTAATGCAATGCTGAAATGTAAGATTGAATTGAGATTTTTGTTTACAACACTGAGTTTTGTCCTTATGCGTTGTATTGGCATTGTCCCTGTGTGTTGACGCTACAGGGTGTAGATTATCCTTGTGTGTTGACGATGTGGTATCTTTTGTCCTTGTGTGTGAAAGTTGTGATATAGTTTATCATTGTGTGTTGACGCTGTGGTATACTTTATTTTGTCCTTGTGTGTTGACGTTGTGGTATAGTTTATCCTTGTGTGTTGACGCTGTGGTATAGTTTCATCCTTGTGTGTGTGTGTTGACGCTGTGGTATAGTTTGTCCTTGTGTGTTGACGATGTGGTATAGTTTGTCCTGGTTTTGTATGCCGCTGTATGGTTTATCTTTCTGCTTTTGTCACTGTGTTAATTTTGTCCAAGCGTGTATGCCATGTGGTACATTATTCTCGTCTGTTACTTGTACACGGCGTTGCAATGTGTAATACACAACGAGCTTCAGCTCTATTTGATAGCATACGTGTTGCCATTTTGGACGGGCTACTCTCCTGCTTACTAGGCGTAGGAAAAGACGTAAACGCGTTTCTATTTTGTGTGACACCAGCAAGCTTTTGACCAAGTTTAATATGTTGGAGTTTAAAAATGTCTAGTTTTGAGATAACTAGTGAATTACTGTCACGATACACACTCTCGTCAGATAGAAAGCAATAGATGCACTAAGTAAAAAATATCTATCTACGGAAAAATTAAAGCAGGCGTCCTACTTGATCCCGTATTAGGACCCTTACTATTTTGGAGATGATAAATGACAGATAATTATATCGATACCATTATA